CACACATATAAGTAAAGAATATGAGAGAGTCGGGATGTCACAATTATTAAGGGAAAATTAAGAGAAAAGGAAATATTTGAAAGGAAAAGACAAAGAATGAATTGAAAAACAGAGCAGGGTGTTTAATTAATCAATAATGTATTGGTAATTTCAATATGCACAACAAACTGGAACTCTCTTGTGAGAGAAATTCTATTTTCACACATCTAATTAGCTCAAGGCACATCTTTTTTCAATACATTCACTTATTAATTTGATACCAATTAATTTTCTTAATCCACACACTTAAAGTTACAATTACACCCTTCACTCATAACCATTGTACACACACCACTAACCGTCTTCCTACACACTTTTGATTGACCCTACTTCCACATTGACTCACCCATGCCCTTGAAGAGTTTGGTCTGAAGTGAAATTTCCTCCATTGAAGACTTGCATAGAAGATGTAAGAACCTGAATTTTTAGATAACTAATTAGTTTGTTAATAACAATATTAAGTCAATTAATACTGATTATTAAATTATTAAATTATAATGTTAATAGCATTATGATTACTACCAATATTAAACTCCTTTAAATAAATTTATTTATCTTTTTGTGACTGTATATAAATACAGTTGTGGAAAACTAAATGATTTAAACAAATAATAACTAAGTTAGTTAGAGGATAGTAGGAAGCAAAACATCTAGTGAATAGGTTATATATAAACTGATTTTATTTTGTACACACAAAAAAAAAATATGAAATCAGATTTTGGGCAGGGAAATTCGACCCCCTCCTTTCCAAGAAGGTTGCTGGAGGGCATGCATACATTTACACTCTAAGCCTATACATGTAGGTAATATTTCCCAAGCCAAGAGGAAAAAATAAAATAAAAATAGGCCTCCAAACTCCTACAAATAAGAACACTATTCAACCATTCTACTACTACGGCTGAGCAAAGAGAAAAAAAAAAAAGAGAGAGAAAGAGTAGAAAAGAAAAAGAAAAAGAGAGAAAGAGGAGAGGGTGCTTGTTGGTCACCATTTCAAAACTAATCTTGAGAATAGTTTGCAAAAGCTCTTGAGGTAGGAATACTCAACCTCTATCCTTCCTTAGATATTTTTTTTACTGAACCTATATATTAAATGTATGCAAGAGTATGCATTGTTAATACATACATAGCAAGAATAGCTCAATGCATGTTTACATTTTGATAGAATGAGAATTTCATGATTATATGATTTTTATTCCTTCTTGCAAGCATAGATTAGATGGTTTAGCAATTGATTTTATCTTCTTACGTGCTCAAACATTTTCCATTATTTGAAATAATCTTGCATGAGAGTAAAATGAGATAAAGTTGATTCACTTATACTTGAAACTTATATTTTCTTCACTGTTTCAGATTTTTATCGGATGAAAATTGCTCAAATAAATTGAAGATAACTTGTGTCAAAAATCTGTTTTTACTAGGAGTATATATAGGTGTTCTATACGGTGTAAATTTTTTCTAAAATCATTGGACACCATGTTCTTACCGAAATAAATATTTGTTCTAAGTGTTGCTTACAACACAATAGGAACAGTGACTTCAAATAGGTTCCATTTTCTCTGAAAATGTTATTTTTTTACACGACCACTTGGGATAGTTAGATATAAGAGTTATCTTTCATTTTCCACTGATTTCACAAAAAATGGATAAGTCTAAGAGGAGAAATCGTAATTTTACTAAAATGAGACAGAATCTGTCCAATTTTCTTAGAAAGATTATTTGACCATCTTCCATTGGTTTTCAGTTTTCAAACTCTTCTGTACATATGTTCTAAACTCAAATATCTAGCAAGCCATTCTGACCATACCTCTTTTTGACACTGTTTGAGGCCCCTTTTAATTTTTCAAACACAGAACACCTGTGCTGGAAGTTGCTGTAACTCACTATCCCAGAAAACAATTTTCTTCCAAATTTTATTTCTCCATTTTAAAATCATTTTTAGCCCTGGTATTCTCTCAAAATATTTTCCTAACTCAATTAACTAGTACCAGTTAAAATATCGTAATAATTGAATTTCGTTTGGTATGGGTTTCATTAATTTTAGTCCGATCATTCAGTGCTGAAAATAAGAAGTGTGGGAAATTCTAAGAAATTTTGTGATGACTCCTAAGACATTTAGTAATACTTATTTTGGTTGTCATACATGGTTGTGTTGTGCTATATAAACCTTATGTTACTATGGTTTTCAAACTAGAACTCGCACATGCATCAAAATGTGAGTTCGACAAAGTAAAGAAACACAAAATTGAACATATGCATTAAAGTTTAAAACTGATGGGGTGAGCCCAGTTTGGAGTCTTGCGCAAGTGAGTTGCGAACCCTAACATGGCACGGGAAGGTATTTCGGCTCTTATTGGTATAAGCGATATAAGATTGGGGGTGCGGGTGTCACAACATATATTGTTCCCTTGGGGCAGACCGTGATGTCACGACTCGAGTACGTAACCCTGGTACGTGGGCATCATTGGTAGTTACAGCAAGTAACATTTGAATATTTTACCAAGGGGGAGTCAAAATTGCCCGTGGCCATTGTTTAGCGGTTGAGTGGAAATAATGCTCCACGGGGAGTTACTTAGACTCACTTGATAAACTAATCTATGTGAATTATAAAGAAAAGTTGGCATCTTCCTTATGATGAAATACTGCTTCTGCTTGCCATTGTTCTTATTGTCTATTGTTATTATTTCAACTAATAGCATTCTTGTTATACATATTAAACACTGCTTGTTACTCTATTACTACACAATATTCATTAATTGTGAGTATTATTATCGGGGTGGGTATTTCGGGTTATTGTATCTTATTGAGCTCGTCGCTCATTGGCATTCCCGTTGCCCTGGCATTTTATGTCAGGTACCAAAGAACTGAACGAAACACTGAGGTCTTGGAAGGCGACATTCAGCCTTGATTAGCTTGAAGTGTGCCCATGTCCCATGAACCATTTTTTTGAGTTTTCTAGTTTTTCTCTAGGTTTCTTTTTTATATTTGTGTTTTTCTTTCATGAATGTACTAAGACTAAGTTTTAAGTTTGATTGGAGTTATAATTTAAGAACTTTTGGTAGCGTTTGGTAGAGTTTTCTAAATATGATTTGAGAATAGAGTTGTATTTTGAGTTTGTAAGTTTTGGAATTATGATTTGAGTGTGGAAATTTTATTTGGTGAATGAGTTTTGAATTGAGTGGGAAATTTTTAATGTGACATGTGATATTTGATACAAAAACTTACAACTTATAACCAAACACACAACTCAAATCAAAATTATATTCAAAACTTATAAAAAAAATTTAAAAAAATTCCAAATTTTTTTTATTTAAAATATAAAAAATACCAGGTGCCAATTGTTAAAAAAAATAAATAAATAGCACTATTCTGGTCAACCGACCAGGCGTCCGGGAGGATGACTGGACGTCCGGAAGGACGACTGGTTAGCCCAAATTTTCCCACGTTGGAAAGAGTTTTCAAAAATGAGTGTAGAATTAATTTTTGAAAATTGTAAACAAACAACACACTCCAAATAATGGGTAGAAATGTGTTTGGAGAGCTTCTCCAAACACAGCCTTTAATTTCTATTTTTGTTAATTAATGGAAGATGACAGACTTGGTGATAACAATGATTAGAAATTCTTAATTAAGAAAATTGATTTTAAGTTTTAAACCTTATTATGATGTCCGCAAATTTTGGGGGGTCACAAAAGACCTCCATTAAATCTCCATTGAAGAGCATTGTAAATCCTCCAAAATAGTTTTGAATGTAAGAAATCATTCCATTTTCTTATTATATTTATTATTGCACTTGTAATTTTCGGATCTATGTGCACTCTATTGGCATAAAAGATAGGTTATTTCGGTCTATGTGCTCTCTTTTTTTGAAGCATGGTAGCACCTCCCTCAGTGTTGCTACCCATTCAAAATCAGAGCATCACAAATCCATTGTTTGTTGCAGAGACCAAATTAGATTTCAAGAGGGAGACACTCGAGGGCAGACTACCTTGCCCTAAAAAAAATAAAAATAAAAATAAAAAATAAATAAATAAAGCATCCTAGTTGCTAGTCAAATTGGTTTAAACTAGTTTTTCCTACCTTCTAACTTCCAATAATAAGACAAATATTAATAAGAATAAAAATAACAATTGACAGAAGTTCATTGCCAAGACCCATCGATCTTAATGGAAAAATTATGATTTAATTTTTTTAAGTCAAAAGGTCTACATTGAGATTTTCTTATTCTTAAAAGATATGTACAAGAAATTTTTCTATATAATATTATAAGTATTGTTGGATGTCTATTATAGTCATTTTTATTTAGAATATAATTGTCATAAAATTTATGCATTGAGCTAATTAAATTTTCCCTCTTGCGATTTAAAAGAAGTAGATAGTAAACTCTCAATTGTGATGAAAATCTAAGATGATATTGATAATGAAAAATTAAATACAAAATAAAAATGGTATGACAGATTTTGTGTTTGCTCGTTTGTACCTTGCAGTAGGCTACCTAAGATCTACATTGGGAATGTATTGGATGATGGGCCAATATTCTTTCCCCTTTTCACACTTCTGTTTCAGTATTGGATTACATCGCCCGATGTCCAGTGACAAAAGCGAGGGAGGCAATCCTTGTTCTGGAAAGGTCGCAAGCTCAGGGCAGTTATAGATCGATAGAAGCAAAAGAGAGGGAGGCAACCCTTCCTTTGGAAAGGACGCGAGCCTAGGGCAACCCCAGATTTCAAGTGTTTGGAGAGAGGTGAGGTTTTGAAACTCCTCATAAGAGAGTCTTTCCAGATTTGGGAACTGGAGGATGGTCAAATTGAGAAGAGAGGTGGGCAGGAACATCCCTTCTTCTGGAAAGGACACCGTATCTCTCCACGGCCAATCTCGGCCTTGAAGTTGGAGTGTTGTAAGAGAAGAGAGTTTGTACAAACCCCACTTTAACGGAAGTGGAAGTTGACCGACGTCGTCCCCTCTCAAATTCCCGATTTCAAGTGAAGTGATGTTGGTGGGGAAACTCCCTTCCTTGACAAAGTAGGAGACCATTCCTGCCCTGCATTCATATAAACACAGCTTTTGAAGCGAAGTGAATTGGTTGATGTTGTTGTTCTGATCAGGACCACCAAGTGACAGGGGCTCCAGATTATAACAAGCTTTTGAAGCGAACTGAGTTGGTTCATGTTGTTGTTGTTCTCATCATGACCACCAAGTGACACGGGCTCCAGATTATAACAATAGTTTATCTGCAATTCACTGAGATTCCTGAGATTATTGGCTTCAGGTAAAGATTTAAGACTCCCACAAAAATCGATACAAATAGTTTCAAGAGATGGACAGTCAATTTTGATCCCTTCCGTTACAAAAAGTGACTCCAGATTTTCACACAACTCAATCCCAAGTTGTTTTAGTGTGGATGGTAGCCCACCTCTTGACAATAAGTATGTGAGTGATGCACATTCAGAAACCAGCAACTCTTGCAGATTACTGAGTGTCATCAACTCGGGTAGCGACTCCAGAGCATCACAATTTGAAACCCTAAGTTCTCTCAGCATAGATGGCAAACCTTTCATTGGAAAAGAGATAAGACTTGCACAATCGTGGATTCTAAGCACCCCAAGAGATGTGTATGTGTGCAAATCTTGTGGCAATTTCTTCAGCATTCCACACTCTTCAATTGTTAAATACTCGAGTCTCGTCATGCAAGGCAGCTCCTCATGTTGCTGCTTTTTCCAACCTTCTCCTCCTTTTTCTTGCTCTTCTTCAAACAAGCAAATGACTTTAGGGCAATGAGAAATCTTCAAATGGCAGAGGGAAGGGAGACATACTTGTATTCTCACCTTATTCCGCCACAATGTTATGAGTTCTTGGCAGTTACTAATGTCCAATTTTTCGAGTCCCATCAAATCTTGAGTAAACCATGTCGGTAGGAATGCCAGTTTTTCAATATCAGAAATGCTCAAGGCAGTTATTGAAGTCAAATGGTTAGACATTTCATTAGCCAGTAACTCTTCATCAGTTGCGCTTGGATCACAGAGGGAGTTGAGAACTGTAACATGGCTTTCTCTTGGGAGAATAACATTATTCATTGACAAGGACGCAAGTGATGGCTGAACGAGGCTCGAAACATCAATCAACAACTGCGGACAACCATCAATTTTGAGAGAATTGAGACAAGGAAGATCATTTGGTAATCTTCCAACAAGTTTGGGACAATTTATGATGGAAAGCTCACTGAGATGACCGAACGGCTGAACTCCCTCTGTTTCAAAAGCAGACCAATCCTCCCATTCTGGCATAAACTCAAAGCTCAATCTCTCTAGAGAGGGGAAAGGTTTGGCACCACACTGCTGCCCATAGAACTCACAACCCAAGCGCTTTATTGCACTCATTCCTTCAATGTAAAGGTCTTTAAGCACGGGCAGTTGTCCAAGTGGTGGCAATGATGTGCAATATTTACTACCTTCTAATCGCATGAATACCATTTTAGAGAATGAAACATCTCCAACCCAGTTTGGAAATTTTGTACTACCATACCCACTGATGGTGAGTCGTTCCAAAAATTTGAAAGGCCTCATCACGTCAAGCACATCCCTCTCAACTATGTCATTCTGTGAACGGTGAGATTTACCCCATTCTAGTGATAACTCTTTTAACTCCTCCTTAGACATAAAATTGGCCTCCCTTGCATCCTTAACACCACTGACATTCTCCAGTCTTGATATGTGTATTGCCCCTCGAATGTGCGACAGGTTTTTCAACTCTCCTATTTTACGTCCACAATCTTTACCCACCATAAAATTTGACAATGTTTGGAGACTAGTTAATTTACCTATATGTAGCGACATCTCTTCTGATGATGGAATATCCACGCCAGTCATGTCAAAATGGCGCAAGTTCACCAGCCTCTCCATGTTTAGAGGCAACTTCTCAAGTGCAAAACAAAATTTCAAAAACAAGACTTGTAAATTGTAGAGAGTTACCACCGTGTCAGGTAACCTTGTAATCCCAGAACAAGATACATCAAGGTACCTCAAATACTTTAGATCTCCAATGGAATCTGGTAGTTCATCAATCCCATCACAACACAAACGCAACTCACGTAAGCACTTTAACATTGGCAACAAATCATGAATCAAGTACCTTGTTGTGTAGTTGAATGCACTCGCCGAAAACCTTAAGAAGGTTCGTAAGCATCTGGCATCATCGAAAGCTTTGAATTTTCTGATTCCTTCATATTCACTACCAACAAAAGATGAATGTCGAGCTTTGTCTGAAATCTTGTTCTGCTTGCCACCCTCTAAATTATTCTCCAACCTAAAACAGATGTCCCCTGCAACTGCTTGAGCCAAATCATTGATGAGGTCATGCATTATGAATAGTGTAAGGTTTAATTTTTTACAAAAGGTGTAAGTGTAAGGTGTAAGGTGTAAGTGGGTTGCACATGGTGTGCAACCTCAAAAAAGGTGTAAGTGTAAGGTTTAATTTTTTACAAAAGGTGTAAGTGTAAGGTGTAAGGTGTAAGTGGGTTGCACATGGTGTGCAACCTCAAAAAAGGTGTAAGTGTAAGGTTTAATTTTTTACAAAAGGTGTAAGTGTAAGGTGTAAGGTGTAAGTGGGTTGCACATGGTGTGCAACCTCAAAAAAGGTGTAAGTGTAAGGTTTAATTTTTTACAAAAGGTGTAAGTGTAAGGTGTAAGGTGTAAGTGGGTTGCACATGGTGTGCAACCTCAAAAAAGGTGTAAGTGTAAGGTTTAATTTTTTACAAAAGGTGTAAGTGTAAGGTGTAAGGTGTAAGTGGGTTGCACATGGTGTGCAACCTCAAAAAAGGTGTAAGTGTAAGGTTTAATTTTTTACAAAAGGTGTAAGTGTAAGGTGTAAGGTGTAAGTGGGTTGCACATGGTGTGCAACCTCAAAAAAGGTGTAAGTGTAAGGTTTAATTTTTTACAAAAGGTGTAAGTGTAAGGTGTAAGGTGTAAGTGGGTTGCACATGGTGTGCAACCTCAAAAAAGGTGTAAGTGTAAGGTTTAATTTTTTACAAAAGGTGTAAGTGTAAGGTGTAAGGTGTAAGTGGGTTGCACATGGTGTGCAACCTCAAAAAAGGTGTAAGTGTAAGGTTTAATTTTTTACAAAAGGTGTAAGTGTAAGGTGTAAGGTGTAAGTGGGTTGCACATGGTGTGCAACCTCAAAAAAGGTGTAAGTGTAAGGTTTAATTTTTTACAAAAGGTGTAAGTGTAAGGTGTAAGGTGTAAGTGGGTTGCACATGGTGTGCAACCTCAAAAAAGGTGTAAGTGTAAGGTTTAATTTTTTACAAAAGGTGTAAGTGTAAGGTGTAAGGTGTAAGTGGGTTGCACATGGTGTGCAACCTCAAAAAAGGTGTAAGTGTAAGGTTTAATTTTTTACAAAAGGTGTAAGTGTAAGGTGTAAGGTGTAAGTGGGTTGCACATGGTGTGCAACCTCAAAAAAGGTGTAAGTGTAAGGTTTAATTTTTTACAAAAGGTGTAAGTGTAAGGTGTAAGGTGTAAGTGGGTTGCACATGGTGTGCAACCTCAAAAAAGGTGTAAGTGTAAGGTTTAATTTTTTACAAAAGGTGTAAGTGTAAGGTGTAAGGTGTAAGTGGGTTGCACATGGTGTGCAACCTCAAAAAAGGTGTAAGTGTAAGGTTTAATTTTTTACAAAAGGTGTAAGTGTAAGGTGTAAGGTGTAAGTGGGTTGCACATGGTGTGCAACCTCAAAAAAGGTGTAAGTGTAAGGTTTAATTTTTTACAAAAGGTGTAAGTGTAAGGTGTAAGGTGTAAGTGGGTTGCACATGGTGTGCAACCTCAAAAAAGGTGTAAGTGTAAGGTTTAATTTTTTACAAAAGGTGTAAGTGTAAGGTGTAAGGTGTAAGTGGGTTGCACATGGTGTGCAACCTCAAAAAAGGTGTAAGTGTAAGGTTTAATTTTTTACAAAAGGTGTAAGTGTAAGGTGTAAGGTGTAAGTGGGTTGCACATGGTGTGCAACCTCAAAAAAGGTGTAAGTGTAAGGTTTAATTTTTTACAAAAGGTGTAAGTGTAAGGTGTAAGGTGTAAGTGGGTTGCACATGGTGTGCAACCTCAAAAAAGGTGTAAGTGTAAGGTTTAATTTTTTACAAAAGGTGTAAGTGTAAGGTGTAAGGTGTAAGTGGGTTGCACATGGTGTGCAACCTCAAAAAAGGTGTAAGTGTAAGGTTTAATTTTTTACAAAAGGTGTAAGTGTAAGGTGTAAGGTGTAAGTGGGTTGCACATGGTGTGCAACCTCAAAAAAGGTGTAAGTGTAAGGTTTAATTTTTTACAAAAGGTGTAAGTGTAAGGTGTAAGGTGTAAGTGGGTTGCACATGGTGTGCAACCTCAAAAAAGGTGTAAGTGTAAGGTTTAATTTTTTACAAAAGGTGTAAGTGTAAGGTGTAAGGTGTAAGTGGGTTGCACATGGTGTGCAACCTCAAAAAAGGTGTAAGTGTAAGGTTTAATTTTTTACAAAAGGTGTAAGTGTAAGGTGTAAGGTGTAAGTGGGTTGCACATGGTGTGCAACCTCAAAAAAGGTGTAAGTGTAAGGTTTAATTTTTTACAAAAGGTGTAAGTGTAAGGTGTAAGGTGTAAGTGGGTTGCACATGGTGTGCAACCTCAAAAAAGGTGTAAGTGTAAGGTTTAATTTTTTACAAAAGGTGTAAGTGTAAGGTGTAAGGTGTAAGTGGGTTGCACATGGTGTGCAACCTCAAAAAAGGTGTAAGTGTAAGGTTTAATTTTTTACAAAAGGTGTAAGTGTAAGGTGTAAGGTGTAAGTGGGTTGCACATGGTGTGCAACCTCAAAAAAGGTGTAAGTGTAAGGTTTAATTTTTTACAAAAGGTGTAAGTGTAAGGTGTAAGGTGTAAGTGGGTTGCACATGGTGTGCAACCTCAAAAAAGGTGTAAGTGTAAGGTTTAATTTTTTACAAAAGGTGTAAGTGTAAGGTGTAAGGTGTAAGTGGGTTGCACATGGTGTGCAACCTCAAAAAAGGTGTAAGTGTAAGGTTTAATTTTTTACAAAAGGTGTAAGTGTAAGGTGTAAGGTGTAAGTGGGTTGCACATGGTGTGCAACCTCAAAAAAGGTGTAAGTGTAAGGTTTAATTTTTTACAAAAGGTGTAAGTGTAAGGTGTAAGGTGTAAGTGGGTTGCACATGGTGTGCAACCTCAAAAAAGGTGTAAGTGTAAGGTTTAATTTTTTACAAAAGGTGTAAGTGTAAGGTGTAAGGTGTAAGTGGGTTGCACATGGTGTGCAACCTCAAAAAAGGTGTAAGTGTAAGGTTTAATTTTTTACAAAAGGTGTAAGTGTAAGGTGTAAGGTGTAAGTGGGTTGCACATGGTGTGCAACCTCAAAAAAGGTGTAAGTGTAAGGTTTAATTTTTTACAAAAGGTGTAAGTGTAAGGTGTAAGGTGTAAGTGGGTTGCACATGGTGTGCAACCTCAAAAAAGGTGTAAGTGTAAGGTTTAATTTTTTACAAAAGGTGTAAGTGTAAGGTGTAAGGTGTAAGTGGGTTGCACATGGTGTGCAACCTCAAAAAAGGTGTAAGTGTAAGGTTTAATTTTTTACAAAAGGTGTAAGTGTAAGGTGTAAGGTGTAAGTGGGTTGCACATGGTGTGCAACCTCAAAAAAGGTGTAAGTGTAAGGTTTAATTTTTTACAAAAGGTGTAAGTGTAAGGTGTAAGGTGTAAGTGGGTTGCACATGGTGTGCAACCTCAAAAAAGGTGTAAGTGTAAGGTTTAATTTTTTACAAAAGGTGTAAGTGTAAGGTGTAAGGTGTAAGTGGGTTGCACATGGTGTGCAACCTCAAAAAAGGTGTAAGTGTAAGGTTTAATTTTTTACAAAAGGTGTAAGTGTAAGGTGTAAGGTGTAAGTGGGTTGCACATGGTGTGCAACCTCAAAAAAGGTGTAAGTGTAAGGTTTAATTTTTTACAAAAGGTGTAAGTGTAAGGTGTAAGGTGTAAGTGGGTTGCACATGGTGTGCAACCTCAAAAAAGGTGTAAGTGTAAGGTTTAATTTTTTACAAAAGGTGTAAGTGTAAGGTGTAAGGTGTAAGTGGGTTGCACATGGTGTGCAACCTCAAAAAAGGTGTAAGTGTAAGGTTTAATTTTTTACAAAAGGTGTAAGTGTAAGGTGTAAGGTGTAAGTGGGTTGCACATGGTGTGCAACCTCAAAAAAGGTGTAAGTGTAAGGTTTAATTTTTTACAAAAGGTGTAAGTGTAAGGTGTAAGGTGTAAGTGGGTTGCACATGGTGTGCAACCTCAAAAAAGGTGTAAGTGTAAGGTTTAATTTTTTACAAAAGGTGTAAGTGTAAGGTGTAAGGTGTAAGTGGGTTGCACATGGTGTGCAACCTCAAAAAAGGTGTAAGTGTAAGGTTTAATTTTTTACAAAAGGTGTAAGTGTAAGGTGTAAGGTGTAAGTGGGTTGCACATGGTGTGCAACCTCAAAAAAGGTGTAAGTGTAAGGTTTAATTTTTTACAAAAGGTGTAAGTGTAAGGTGTAAGGTGTAAGTGGGTTGCACATGGTGTGCAACCTCAAAAAAGGTGTAAGTGTAAGGTTTAATTTTTTACAAAAGGTGTAAGTGTAAGGTGTAAGGTGTAAGTGGGTTGCACATGGTGTGCAACCTCAAAAAAGGTGTAAGTGTAAGGTTTAATTTTTTACAAAAGGTGTAAGTGTAAGGTGTAAGGTGTAAGTGGGTTGCACATGGTGTGCAACCTCAAAAAAGGTGTAAGTGTAAGGTTTAATTTTTTACAAAAGGTGTAAGTGTAAGGTGTAAGGTGTAAGTGGGTTGCACATGGTGTGCAACCTCAAAAAAGGTGTAAGTGTAAGGTTTAATTTTTTACAAAAGGTGTAAGTGTAAGGTGTAAGGTGTAAGTGGGTTGCACATGGTGTGCAACCTCAAAAAAGGTGTAAGTGTAAGGTTTAATTTTTTACAAAAGGTGTAAGTGTAAGGTGTAAGGTGTAAGTGGGTTGCACATGGTGTGCAACCTCAAAAAAGGTGTAAGTGTAAGGTTTAATTTTTTACAAAAGGTGTAAGTGTAAGGTGTAAGGTGTAAGTGGGTTGCACATGGTGTGCAACCTCAAAAAAGGTGTAAGTGTAAGGTTTAATTTTTTACAAAAGGTGTAAGTGTAAGGTGTAAGGTGTAAGTGGGTTGCACATGGTGTGCAACCTCAAAAAAGGTGTAAGTGTAAGGTTTAATTTTTTACAAAAGGTGTAAGTGTAAGGTGTAAGGTGTAAGTGGGTTGCACATGGTGTGCAACCTCAAAAAAGGTGTAAGTGTAAGGTTTAATTTTTTACAAAAGGTGTAAGTGTAAGGTGTAAGGTGTAAGTGGGTTGCACATGGTGTGCAACCTC